ATTAATTTGCTTTATTGATCAATAAAATAAGTTACAAAAGGTGGACTTAAAACATGAACACGACTGCGGCTTAAAATAAATGTGTTATTATATTTCATGAAGGAGGACTACTGGCCGAAGGGTGTAGTTAATCGGCGCTACCGTGGTCGATTGCCGTCGTCAGTGCCGTGACCACACAGACAAGATCAATATATTAGTTTTAAAATATTATTTCATATGTATTCTAGTCTATAATCTATTGCTAAAATATGCATTAAAATCCGTTGCATAGTTTAAAAGATCTTAATTTTATAATATGTATTAAAACTTATAATGAAGATTAAAATGGGAATTCTTAATCGAATACAAAAATATCATCAAAATCTGCTCTCAAAATTATGAGTGTCGTAACCTAGCGGTAAACTAGTCGGTATCAGTTTGTGTCAACTTTCAAACTCTCCGGTGATTGAAACACTTATAACAAACCAAATTAGGTTCGCTTCTTGCCGTATATCAAGAGTTTCGTTGATAGTGCCTCAGAGTACCATTCCTGGACAGGAGAACATTCCTGAAGGTAGACTATTACATATTTATTTATTTTAATATTCTATATAATAACTATCAGATTTTTTTTAATATTCTTTGTTTATCTGTGCGCAATATAGAGTTATTGTAATTATTATCATTCACAAAAATAACCGTGTCTATTTTCGTAATACACAAAAATACAGTCTTATTAAGAAATGCTTCATTTTGTGTGTCGGTTAAAAATAAAAATAGTCTTATCTATAACGGAACAGATATTCAATCGGTGTATGATATAATAACGGCGGGACTGACATCATTATAAAAATCAATAATCTTCAACAACACTCGATACGCAGACTGGGAATACTTACGATAAATATTATATCATAGTATGATAAATCTCATAACGATAAGTTAAAAAATTACTTACTAAACTAATATTATAAGATTTAAAGTTTAGGAGGATAAATGGGAGAGGAGGGGGGGGGGGTTATTTCTGGATCTAGTGAATTGATTTTGAAAATTCTTTTAACAACAGAAAGTCACATCATTTATGAGGATCCTAGATCACGATACGACCTATAGGAACGGAGCTGCATTGCAAAATCGGGAAAATGTGACGATGTTACGGGTCTACTTTAACCGCACAACTTCAAACTTCGTTTTGAATGGAAATATTAACAAGTTGACTCCCAACCTGATAATCATAATAATATCTCAGATCTATTCACATAACGTCAACTAGTCCCAAGCCAAGCTGAGCTTGTATTACGGCTACTAGACTACTGATATTAATAACCTAGACACATTTTTTGTAAATACATACATAAGTATATTATTTATATACATAGAAAACACCTAGATCGATACAAACAACAATACGAATATATATGTGTGTGACAAAAGATCCTATGCAAACGACTTCGTAAAAAGTCTACCTATGTCCTTTACAACAAATCATGTATATATATATATATATGCACTAGCTGTGCCTGCGATTTAACCCGCGTGAAATTTATAGCCTATTAGCTGTCCCGGCAAACGTTGTTTTGCCTTAAAATAAAAAAAAAAAAAAAAAAAAAAAAAAATTTGGGATGGCCTACCCCTAACATTTAGGGGGATGAAAAATAGATGTTGGCCGATTCTCAGACCTACTCAATACGCTCACAAAATTTCATGAGAATCGGTGAAGCCGTTTCGGAGGAGTATGGGAACGAAAACTGTGACACGAGAATTTTATATATAAGATATGTCATTCTGATGTATAAGCTATATTACTGTAAAAATCACCAAAATCATTTCAATAATTTTTGCGTGAAAGAGTAATAAACATCCATACTCACAAACTTTCTCGTTTATAATATTAACAAGTTTTTAAGACTTAACCGGTTTAGTCATGAGTACCTTGATGAAATGTTATCGGATTATCATGAAAAGGTAATAGATATATAATTGATCATCGACTAATACATGTATCTATTATGATAACGATGATCATATTATCATACTCATTGCATCATTTTTACTATATTTTTAAAAACAGATGGTTCGTATTTGTGCGATGGTAAACATTCTCTTTCTGTAATAAGGAATACTTTGGTCAATGGTTTATTGCTAGTGCTAAACCAGGTTTATCTTTTTCTAATAAGACAGAGTGTGTCAGTAATTTATAAGACGTTTGTGAACGCGTTTTGAAAATATATCAATCGTAGGTTAAATATATATATATATGTACAAGACTGTTATCGCATATAGGGTACTTAGAGGTGTAATAAAAGTTTGGCGTTATACTGAACAAATTTGAAATTGCTAATGTTTCCTGTGGTATATATATATTATAGTTAACCTAACCTTTCAAGTGTTCGCTGTCAAAATGACATTAACGCCCCATTTGTGAGACCAATTACAGGACATCTCACAGATGGGGCTATAGTGTTCGAGACCAATAGAAATAGAAATAATCTTTATTCAAATAATCGTATTATAAACACTTTTGAATACAGTCAATAATTGACTCCATCGCAGATTATTAAATATTTTTTTCTATTCTTTCCTAAATGGAAAGAAATTCTTATTTTGAAGAATATAAAACACTATTATAGCTGAAATAAGCTTGAAAGAAAAAAATTGTTTTGTTTTCTTAAAAAAAAGAAAAATAGTGAATTCGCTACGATAGTTAAATGATTTGAGTGTTATTCCATCATTTGCTGGTAGGATAACACTTAAAGATACTGTCAATGTCGGCTGCCCCATTCCCTTATCAACCATTAATACTACACAGTATCTTCATTCAATTAATTACATAATCAATGACTGTCAATGTTTATGTATAATTTATATCTCTATCTGACATAACATATATCTTCATTCTTAAAACTAGCTGTGCCCTGCGACTTCCTACACTCATAATTGCAATAGAATTACCAGAAAATAAATTTTAAATGCTTAACACAATACTTTCGCATCATCGCAGACAAATCGGTTAAGCTGTTTCTAAGTATAGCAAGCATAAACGTACAGACAAATAGACAAAAAACGAATAATCATTGTTTTGGATTCCAATAGGTTAATCAAATCAAATCAAATCGTATATTTTCTATGTACAGATATATATATTTCATATAAATTTTATATTAACAAATAGGGGTTGGTGGTAGAAGGGTGAACATTTAGGGTTTTATGTATTTTTTAATGCCATATTGTTAAAAAAAAAAAATTGAGAAAAATATATGTTACGGGTGGACAACCCTTATCACTTAGGGGTATGAAAAATAAATAGTAGGCAATTCTCAGACCTACAGAATATGCATATAAAATTTAATAAAAATCGGTCAAGCCGTTTCGGAGGAGTATGGTAACTAACATTGTGACACGATAATTTTATATATTTATATCTATCTGCCATAACGTACAACTCTTTTTGTTTTTATTCATAAAAAGAATTGATTTGGAATTCCAGCAGTATACGAAACATTACGATATGGTGTTACTAGCATTGACCTATGAGGTTAAGATAAACTTGTACACTGCTTCAATGGTGGTAGTAGTTAGTAAGTACTGTTCCAATTACAGCTGACGCAAATAAAAGCTATTCTGATTTTTAGTAAATAAACTGACTTAAAAAAATAGAAAAATCTTTGAGTTTCTTGCTAGTTCTTCTCAATCGATCTGTATACTGAACTGGACCGTAGGGAAAAACATTGATACAGAAAACTTGACGTTCATAAGCGGTTAAAATGTCCTATATGAATAAATGATTTTTTATTCGATTTGTTTTTTTAAATAAAGTATGGTGCATTTCTTTGTATTAACGGTATACGCAGAATACTAGTGGAGCATTACAGCATGAGCATAAATTCAAGTTATTGGTGCATTCTGGCATATTCACCAGGAATTTTTCCATGGGGTAAGGCGTGCCGTTCGACCTAACATGGTACATTGCTGACAATGAAACTAGTCCTAATCCCTATTACTAATAATCCTGCCCTCACAGAATAGTTTTATTTGTAATATAAACACGTCTAATAAAGTTATATTAATAGAAAACCAGTGGAAGTTTCCTCGTAACTAAAGTTTTTAACTCAGTGTCCAATTTTGTTTTCTATCAAATGATGGAACATTTGAGAAATAGCGACAAAATACTTCTGCAGTTAAAATGAATATGTTTAAAATATTATTAAGGTTAGGTAAGGTTAATTTTATAAGAATTTTTTATTCTTATATTTATAAATAAATACTAAGTTTTTAAAATTAAACCTTTTTATTTTTATTATAAGAAAGCGTAGTGGCTTTTAACACCAAGTTATGAATACCAAAGGTCATTACTGTTTTAAACTGTTTTAAAGGTCGATAGTTGGTATCACGAGCAGACTCCACTAATTTGTGGGTCAACTTCAATTTCTGATTAACCCTCCAGTGATGATAAGAACATAGACTGATAAAAAATTTTAGTAATCCGAGTGACGATTGCCCCCGGTTCAAATAGACACCAGTAGACTTTGTACAAAGTCGTTTCGACTCGGTACTATACTTCGGACTCAGATATTTCTACCAATAAGCATCTTGCTGTGACCTGGTTACAATTTTCAAGTCTTACGTCTGAATTCTCCAAGGTCTATTGGCGGCGGTTGCCACTTTCCAAGAAACAAGCCGTCAGCTTAATTACCAGTACTTCCAATTACTTAAAATATATATTGATGGTTATATGTGGGTGTGGATTCGGCAATGTACCCATATAACGCGGTGATATGTCAACCACAAGTACAACCATTGAAGATAATGTGACCCAACCACGCAAAAAATTATGATTAAAAAAAATATACTTTTAACATTCAGTTGAAAAAAATATTATATATATATACAATAAATGGTTTTGTATGCTCTTATACATTCAGCACTAGAGGACAGACGTCGTCCTGTCCAGAAAAGACCTATCGGGTTTAATTGGGTCATCAAATCGTTAAAGTATTCATTTATTACATTAAAAAACTCACCATTTTCCAAACACTCGGTTAGGGAGCTAGTGCTGTCTTCATTTATGAATATCTTAACGCCAATCTTCAGATTCTTCCGTTCCTCTTCAGCCATTTTGTTCTGCACATCATCATGCGGCCTTGTTATATTCACAACTGCCTCCCTGGGAGTCGATGTAGATACTACCACGTAATCTGACTGCTGCCTTGAATCCTGGGCTTGTTTATCCGGGGACGATCCGTTCTGGACTGGCAAGCCATTTTGCGAGTTCCATTCGGACAGCGTTAGTTTAATGCTTTCTGACAACTGCAACAAAGTATGAAATGTTAGAAATTATACCTACATATAATCCTATGTAACTGTATTTTGTGTTAGAGGAACAATAAAAAGAAGAAGTAGGTAAGTAGAGACGAAAGAAGTACTCGTAAGAAGCAAATTTTTTACAAAAATTAATAACAGGACTGAGTATGAAATTTGGCACAGTTAAACATAATATTATATTTTTTATAATAAAGATATTAATGGAATGCGTTATACACGTACACATATGTATACAGTTAGTTTTTAATTCTATTTTTAATTTTGAACATTTACATTAATTATCTTTAGTATATAAGGGCGACCAGTAGTACAAATATAACACATTATATGGAGTTTATTCTGACTTGGCTAATGAAACGACATAATCTGATGATGGTTAAAATTACTTAGATATTTAAGTAATGTCTGTTTGTGCTTATTCCAGTACCATAATAAGGGGAACCTTTTTTTTAATTATAAACCGTAATTGTAATACTTTAAAATCAACGGACATTATATACGCTGAATATATTTCAGTTTCTATATTTTTAATACAAAATTTGAGAAATAATACAATTATTTTCTAATAAATAACAATAACTACAATAAGGTGAATAGTAAGCTTCATTCTATGTAAAAATTACGGTTTTTTTAGTAAGAATATCCCTTAGCCTCTCCTATTAGGTTGTACATCTAATATGTACCCATTGGTGAAACTATATACAAAAAATAGTTAAATGATACGCCTTCGTTTTTTTAACTCATAAGAAATTTAATTAAATTGGTATTTTAGTAATCGTTTCAAAATAGGTGTATATTTAAACGAATCAGTTGAAACTACATTGTTTTGCTTGAATACTAATATTATTTCCACTGCAGTGTGACCATGCACGCTGTATTGTTATGTCAACATAATGCTACAAAACTCTATACGAAGTAACAGGGATGCCAACCGTACGAGGATCCTCGTGATCCACGAGATTGGCCTTTGGATCGAAGGCATTTGTATCCTCGTACATGTTTACATGAGATTATACCTCCAAAATCGGTTAAAATATTATAATTGAGAAATATATACATATAATTATATATGATACTAGCTGTTTTCGCGACTTCGTCCGCGTGTAATTTAACTTTATTTTTCTAAAATAATTTTTTTTTTAATAATAAAAGTACCTAAGTTACGCCTTATTACATCAGATACCTGCCAAAAAAAGTCCTGTCAAAATCGGTCCAGGCATTTAAGAGATTAGCCGGAACAAACAGAGACAGCCAAAATTGTAAAAAATGTTATTTTGGTATATGTACCATATTTATATTCATATGCATGAAGTAAAAAACGGTTATTTCAATATTACAAACGGACTCTCCAATTTCATTTATATCTATGGATGTATAGAATAGAAATGTATACCTTCATGTTAGAGCACCAAATTGAGGTAAGTCAGGTACGAGGTACTCAAAATGAGGTACGAGAATTTATCCATTTTTTTTTTCTTAGTACGAGGCTATATCTTTTAAGGTTAACAACCTTGCCAAGTAGTTAACTAATGTAGTACCTATTACAGTCGGAGTTCTATAAACATGTAAGCTGAGAGCTTGTGAAGCAGTTTATCTGTCTCAAGTACGATAAGGTACAGGTATAAGTATTGAAAGTTCTTAATTTGTTAACCGGGGAATACCCGTTTTACGCAGCATATAACGAGTGCCAACTTTTTCACTAGAACGTGTCAGTACGTCACGCCAGAACGTATAAAATTACCATAGTATTCTTTTTTATTTAGGTATGCTGACAATAAATGAAAAGACTTATATATTTTGTATATTTTGCTTGCAATAGAGTCAGTTATATTGCGGTCACTTACCATAAGTCAGCCATCTGCTTAATTACCATCCAGTTATAAAAAATATATATACAGTGACATTTTAATATCTTCAATTTAAGGCAAAACCCATACCTCTTTGCCTTTGTTGTCATTAAAAAAAAACAGTCATTAATGTTTCTAATTATAACGTCCTGCTTGTAATTTATAATAAATATACGTACACATCAATAATGTATAGAAGTATATTAATACAGAGCTCATGACAATAACGCTTCGTTGTTCTAAAGTCATTAATCATTTTAAATGCCAACAGTTAAACGTGAACGTAAAGTTTTACTTAGTTTTTTATGAAATTCGATTTTTATAATACCTACCTACGACCTATAGTATGAACCTATAACATGGACAAAGAACGAGGAATCGAACCCTCGACCATCGGTCGTAAAGCGGTGTGCTAGACCACTAGACCACCGAGGTCGTCAAATGACCATCATCCGTCATAAAGTCGTTTATATTTACAACTCTTCTAAGGCTGTTGGTCGTTTATAGTCACTACAGATTCACTGTACGAAAAATGGGCTAATGCATATAGCACTAACGTACAGAAAGATTTATAGATATGACTTTAGCCTAAGGGCATCGCTAGGATTTCGAATATCGGTTCGGTAATTTCGATTGCTGTTAGAATCGGAAAGAGGTTCGATTAGAAGAGATAATAGTGGTAGGTACGAATCATTCTAAAACAACTCTAAATATAACTGTATGAAATGTTATAATTACGTAGGTACACATTGTAGTTCATACACATGAGGAAATAACAATTAACTTGCCTATGCTAATAATAAAATTTCGACAAATATCTCATAATACAGTCTAGTATTAAGGTTTTTTTTATCCTGTCATAATTTTTATGTTTATTGATTCAACCAAGGAGAAGGCGAGGCGTACGTATTACTCTACTAGTAGAATTGACCTTCATAGGTAAATTATATAATATTTCAATAGGAACTAGCAACCGCCTATAATATTGCTAGAGAATGAGTGAGCACTTTTCCTATATAAACTGTACGCAATGTTTGGCATGTAAAAATTACCATGGTCAGCTAAAGACTACCTAGCTATAAGGATTTTGCATGCAGTCTACATCATATACTTTGAAATATATGATTTTTGAGTTAATTATTAAAATCAAATATTACAAATATAGAAAAAACTTAAATACTTGTGTAATTGCAATTATTTTTTTTATGTGTGTTGTTATATCTCTAATTCATGTCTTTATATGTTTGTAGTAACTTAACTCAAAAATTACTGCACTAATTTCAAAATTTTTCACCATTAGAGTCCTACATTATTCCTGACTAACAATGGATATATTTATTACTATAAAAATAGAGATCCCTTTAATAATGTAAATAAGGTGTAATAATGTCCACCCACTTGAAGCGAGGACTGAGCTGTTAGTTTCTAATACAATACAATATTTTAAATATATATTTTTTTTACAGTAAAACTATTCTAAAGAAAACCAGTCAATAATTTATTTAAAAATATAATGTAAGTTGGACTCCATTCTCTACAATTAGCCTCACATCTGGGCCGTTGTATGTGTAAAAAAAAATACATATACAAGTGTAAGTACACTACAGAATTTCATCAGTGAATGTGAAATCAAGGAAAATTTCCATCCACTCAAGATTTGTCATCAACTAATATTGATATAATAAATATAAATATACTGACAATATTTCTCTATATAAAATTAGTTTGCCAGGCAAACATCGTTTTCCCAGGACAAATTTAGTTGAAGGGTGAAAATTTAGGGTTGTATGTAGTTTTTATTGCCACATTATGAAAAATTTAAAAAAAATGTCCAATAAATAAAAAGAAATGTTAGTAGTGGAAGACCCTTATTACATAGGGGTAAGAAAAATAGATAGTAGCCGATTCATAGACCTAATGAATATGCATATAAAATTTCATAAAAATTGGTCCATTTGGAGGAGTATGGTAACTAACATTGTGACACAAAAATTTTATGTATAAGATCATAATAAATGTATTTTGGGGTAGACAAAATTCTTAGTAGCAATGTAGATTGATAATTTACCATTACAATTACATAAAATGTTTGTTGGATACAATAATTTTTGTGCGAATATATCATTGTTTTTAAAAGAAATATATATTGTGATAAAAAAAATAATGCATATTGTATTTAAAATACTGCTATATTCAATTTTACTGTAGGTCTATGTAAATATAAAGGTACTCACAAATAGTTCATAATATAATATAATAATTAGAATAAACACAAAAATCAGATGATAATGTAAAAATAAAAGTATAATAAAATGTAAATAATTAATATTTTAAATTAATAACTACCCACACTCAATGTGTAGATACTTTGTAACTTAATATGTTAATTTAATATTCTATTTCTTATCGCCTGAAAGATTTGTAACAGTAATCCTTTGAAAATATTATTGTAATTGCAAATTTAATAATCTACTTTGGTACATGTATACATATAATATTAAATAATTGAGTAACATTAAATAGCAAAAACTAACCTCTTCTGTAACATTTTGTCCAGCCTTTTTCTTGATATCTATTAAATTTAACACATTTCCAGTGTTTATTGTTACTTTTGAAGCACTCTTTAACATCGTGATTATACTTTTTAATAAAATTGTTGGCCTATGATAAAAGGTTAGCGATTTATATATAAAAATAAACCGATCAAGATATTATTTCATACAACCTGTATGAGCGACGATTAAATACTAAATGCTCAGCAGAATGTGCCTTTTATTATACAAGGAAACTCGAACAAAATAAATTTTGTAGTACCAACTGACTAAACGTATTTTACATTAATAATCGTGTAATCAACAGCGTAAAAGTATTGTCATGGTTATTTGACAATATGAATGCACATTTGTATGAATTAACAATGATGAAAGAGGCGGGAAACTGTAAAAACAACAAATTTATTTGATGACGAAATAAAGTTCAGTGATATAGTATTAAATACGATTGATTGACTATTGATTACGACAATAACAAATACGAAGTGAACTAAATGTCAATTTCTTAGTCTGCGCTGTCAAAACTGACGACTTTATTTTACTTTACGACGTAACTGGAAGGTGAGCAGTAGTATAAACATAAAAGTTAATTTAGAATGAGAATAATAATGCTTGTAATTTCTGAGTAAAATAATTTTTATTAGACAGAAGAGAACAAAATTTATAAAATTAGTAACTTTGACCTTAAAAATTGCAAATTGGCAAATAATAGTACTCTGTACACTTGTATGTCAGTCATTAGCTTTGAGTTCTTACTGATCTACTGTTTAATTGACAGTTTTTATTTGATGTTTGTGACTTTTGAGTGAACATTTCTATGTACATTTAACTTTGAAGTATAGACATATAAAAGTTTTATATTTTCAACTTGCCTTTATTTTATATTATTAACATTCTAAAAAACAATAAATTATAATATAAATACATAATGGGTGTTGACATTTTGGGCTTTGCGTACGCCGCCACAGTTGCAGCCGGCGGTATTATGGGTTATGCGAAAGCAGGTCAGTATTAAGTTTAGGGAATATCTGAATAATTAATCAATAAATATTTCAATTGTAATGCAATTTAATTGTTTACTTGAATTTACATAAACAACAAAAGTGCATATACTAAATTTAAATCAAAGACCCTTTTTTGGGATAAGTGATTTTAAATATTTTTATATGATAAGATAGTGTATTTGTGCTTTGTAATCAATGTTTTTGCAATACTTTCATTTCATTTATGAGATAACTCCCGTTTAGCTGTTTTGTTCATTGATAAAAAAGAATCTGATCAATTTTTTACATTGTAGTAATATACACAAACGTCCAGTGGCCAATGTGACAATATGGAATGAAGGCTCTTATTGAACAAAACATCTCATCTGTATTTTTATATTCCAATACAAAAATAGTGGTGTTATAAGTATCTATGTTATGTCCGAGATTACCTCCTTCTCAATCTCTCATCTCAAAAACATCACCTCTTTATAGTATTTGATTTAAAAAATAGGTTGTTATATAGGTTGGTGGAAGTAATTGTTAGTAATAGGTATAAGTGGCACTATTATTATGATAACAATGTACCATATCAGATTGATTTAGACATAGTCACTCTGGAAAACATTGTTGTTAGTTTCAGGTGTATTTGTATCAATGGGCTAATTGACCTGACTTAAGTTTATCCTCTATTGGTGCATGCCACCATTAGTGCAGATGGTTACACCATTCTAATACCAACTATTAAAAAAAATTGGATGTTTAGGTGGTAATACAAATATAGTATTTTGTACAAAGTATGTTGTCATATAGTGTAAATCACAATTCTGTTTTATATTTCAGGATCCATACCTTCCCTGGGAGCTGGGATTATTTTCGGATCAATATTAGGTAATTTTTTTTAAACTCATCAACTTTTTACATTTCTCATATAAAGTACTGTTTACGAGTTTAGAAGGAATATTGAATGTTGTTTTAATTGTCCTGAATCTTTTGTTTTCAGGTGTTGGTGCATATCAACTAACCCAGGATCCTTCCAACTACACTTTGTCCCTTGGTACCACTACCGCGCTTGGTGGTCTTATGGGTTATAGGTAACTATGATTATTGTTAATTTTTAGCTGTCTAACAAGTTCTATTTTTAAACAAACATAATTTTGTAATTTGTCTGCAGTTATTTGTTTTACAGAGAAAATAGTATTGATTGTAATTGTAATTATAGTAAATATAGTCTATTCATTACTACATTATATACATACTAGCTATCCATACTGGCTTCACATCAGATGCATCACAAATCTTTGAATTTCTAAGCTTGTTCTATACCATAACACACATAAACTATACATATAAACGTTCCTATTGAATCACTCATATGGATTGCTGATAACCGCATTAAAATCCGTTGCGTAACCTAAAGATATAAGCGAAGATACAGCGCCGCCGACTTTGTTTTATACTATGGTAAGATATGGCTATAAGCACTAATTCTTCCTGAATGAACGTTTCTGTTTCTTCAGAAGTCTTTTGGTATATTAATATAGATGTGTTATATATAATGCCCTTTATGTTGCAGATATTACAACGGCAGGAAGTTCATGCCAGCCGGTCTGGTTTTCTGCCTCTCAGTTGCCATGTTGGGTAAACTAATAGTCAAAAACGTCGGTGCTCGCTCGTTTCCTGTGAAGTCTGGTTAATAATAATGTAACATACAATAGTATAGTATCTCTGGAATTATATTGATATGGGGAAGTCTCTTACACATAGGTATTAAACACTTAAAAAAATTAACCAGTTTCCAATGTCAGATATTCTATGGCATGATGTCATATTAAAAAAAAATTAAACGATATATTTTTTAAGTATATTGTTTAATAATAATATATGTATATGGTAGATTTATATCAACAAACGTTATTTAAATATCCCGCTGTATATTGTGTATTGCTTTTCAACTAGTATGCAGTACTTTGTTGTAGCTTGTTATTTTTTTAATCATTATAGTACCAGAGAGAAACTATGGCTTGTAGAATTATCCTTTTAACACTATACAATTCGATAGGGATATAAGTGTAGGAGAAATATTTAAATACATAATTTCCAGAAGTACGCCCTACTCCCGTCGTGGAACTTGACAGATGTCAAGGAGAGGTGGAAGAGAGCATAATACGATTCCAATTAAGCATAATATCAGCACAATATAGCATTCGTTAATAGTGTCGGTTACCATTATCCTGGTTGAGTTTCAGTACATAAAGTTGAATGGAATAGACTACAAGTATTGTATAGTGTTGAAAAGGTATTTGTATATTTTGTAGTTATGTAGTTTTGATAAACTTTATTGTAGTTTTCTGTATGTGTAGAGATGTATTCTATAATTTATTTCTACTGTTAAGTAAATGTTGTTTAATTTATTAATTTTTATTTATAATAACAATTGCTTCTAGGTGACATTGAAAAAACATGATATTTTATATGAAATGAAATATTACAAATAAATGGTTTTGGGATTGGAATAAATTTCTTTAATTCAGAATTCTTAATATTAAAATTGAAGGGACACCACTGAAATAAAACACTATAATTTCATGTTTGTTATTTTCTATTTTTTTTCCTAAAATTTATATAAATTTGTGATGAAATTTAAGGTTGAATTCATACATAAATAGTTTGAACAAAATAAATAGTTAACGGCAAGCGATGTTACAGTTACCTAATAGGATCATTGTTTCCCTAGCAAGAAATATTACACCAAAATTACCTTTTTTTACTCTATTGGTAACTTTATAATTACAGATCTATGTCACATAAATAATTTTTAGACATTAAAAACAGACTTAAAAATATAATAGTTTTATCAAATTTCGTAAGAGGATAAAATAAAAAATATAAATTTTCAAAAACAGTGTAAATTCACTTAAATAAAATAATGGTACTACTAATTGTTCGGACGGTCGCGATCCAGTCGCTCTGTTCGTTTAAACAACAAAAAAAAAACTTACAACTCTTACTAATTACTGTATAAAAAGGCACTTCGTGGCAGTTTATTTCGTTAACGAATGCTTTTACAACCGTTCTACAAAGAAATAGGCTAAGGAGTATTTATAATTCCATAACCAATCTAACATTGTGATCACTCGCGGGCTCCCCGCAATAGTTTCATACAACATAACCTAATGTACTTATTGTCCAATAATAGTAACACAATCACATTGTAATATCACTCACTGAACCACGTCTGACACTCGAAATGTTTCGTCTTCAGACTCGTTTGTCACACACTTGCTTAGCACTAGCCCGTAATCACAATTACACGAGATATCTATCTATACCTATAAAGAATTGTAATATAAAAAAATAAAAACAAGCAAAAGTTTTATCTGCTTGCTCTTATTTCATCCTAATTGATTTAAGATTGATTACAATTAAATTTTAAAATTGGAATAGTAAATGATAATAAGATTTTATATTTACAATTGAAATTTGAAATAACAAATGGAATTTTAAAATTAAAATAGAATCTTGTTAAAAATGAAAAGAAAATTTTAATTAGAATACATTTGCAAAACCGATATTTCAGTTATGTTACGATATTCGTGCATACGGGTGTGCTATATTCATTCGTAAATAAAATGGAGGGCTGGAGTGGTAACTGTTCCGATGGGTCCAATTGGGCTGCATGGCCCAGGCCCACGGCAGTCGCTCCAGCGTGGCAGTCTTGTGCTCGTTCCGCTTTATTTTTTAGTGGCGGCTGCTGTAAACATTAATACAATATTATCTATTTAAGCAATTTAAGTTTATATATTTCTACAGTAAATTATTGATGTGATACTAAATTACTATATAATTATGGTAGTATTATAACAACACAAACATGCAATTAAATCATGATACTATTGATGCATAATTAAGTAGACAATATTATGTTGAAAAATACGTATTATCACCACTGAGGTGGCTACAGATACAGTTTTATTATAACTACAGATAAAATTATATATAGTTTTTACCATTTATTTATTATTGAAATTTTGAGAAATTGAGTTCATCATTGAGTTTTGGTTTTTTTACAATGGGAACAAAATACAATGTACAAATTAAAAATAATAATTACATTAACTTTCCAAATACTACAAAGCATTATAAAAAGGGTAGATATATATCGTATTCTCTACTCGTGATGTGACGCATGCTGGAAATTTACTACCTTTTTCATAAAAACTACAAATATTTAATAAACCAATTTTGTTTTGATCTGTCTTCTCAAATTTAAAGACCGTGATATAACAGCATAGTGATAATAGTTTTGTAAGAGATTTTAGTTTTTATGAACAAGTAGGTAAAGTCTTATTGACAAATATATAGTAGGTATATATTTTATAAATATTATTTATAGAAATGATATAGTAGAAGTATAAAAAAAGGTTAAAGTATATGAATTTAGGAACGTTCTATATAGAATACAAGGTAACTGCAGATTTTACGATCCTATACTAAATATTGTCCATTTTATTAATTTCTTTCGGAATAATATAATTTATACTGCTGATTAATGTGAAACTAGATTTACGACACTACTTCTTAATGTAAATTAGGCTTTAAAGATAGACTAATTTAAAACACATTGTGAATTATAACTGAGAAACTATTAAAAAGAACAATAATTAAACAGACATTTTAAATATTACTTAATTGAAATAATTAATTTGATGACTTTTGTATCATCTCTTAAATTTAAAGGTATAAAATAATATTTAGGAAAGTATAAATATAAAAAAGTAACTTAATGATACTTCATAATATGTATAAATTATCAATTTATATAAATTAAAATAGTGTAGAAATCTACTTACACTAATAAGTAAATACTATTAGAATTATATATACTCATATAAAAGACAGAATGATGAAATAAAATTTCTTAGTAGAATTTGAACTCTAAATCTACTATCGATAAGAATTAAAATGACATACATTTGTGCCAGGTGTGTTAAGAATATCAAATAATTTTTATATTTGCAGCTTGTGTGTTACAAATCAATTTAGTTTCATTTAAATTAGTTCACAATTATTATTTAAATGTGCCTTGAGTTTCAAATTCAACTAATAATTTTATCCTTACTATTTCTACTTTAGTAGATATTTTTAGATATTAAGTAGATTATTTAGACATTATAAATTATATAATAAAATATATTAGATAAGATATTTTATTATATAAATCGATACTAATATAATTCCAATATAAATATATTATACATATATTTAAACTATTACCTGAGTTTCGAATAAAGAATGACAATTAATGGTATAGATTCTGTTGTACCACAAAACATTTCATTTTATCGTGACACAAGTATTTAATGTTGTTTTATAAATAAATAAACTTCATAAAAACCATTTCCATATCTCTGTTTCAGGGACAGGATAATAGAAGAAAATATATTTAATCATAGTTTTATAATTTATTAGACAACCAAAATATTATTTTCATAAATAATAGCATTGATTTTAAACAAATTTTATGTTGAGCAATTTAAGGGCAATATTTTATTTTGTCCCGATTTTTCATGTAATCATAGATTCATAAATGTTTTATAACAGTACCTAACCGTTAAAGACTAAAGCGAATTTAGAAATGGAAACGGTTGTCATTTTTATGGAAATAAATTTGCTGTTGTGGTACATCAGAATACACTTACATGAATATCAATAAATTTATATAGGTTTAAAATACAAAGAAAGATGTATAGTATGAAGAGTATCTCTGCACTCCCTTAGGTTGGCTGGTAGAGAATGCTAATAGCATTAAGCCTATTGTACAAAATTCAATAAAGTTTAAATAAATAAATAAAAATAATGATTATAACTAAATAATTAATAAACGTTATTAACAATGGGAACTAATAGGTAAATTATGTACAATTTGGAGTGGTTATGTATTTCGAGTATGTATAAGAAGACAGTACTGTATGATAGGAATATGAAGAGTAGATAATACCTACTTGTTTTTGTTATAAAAATCATGTATGTTTATATCGATCGATGTAGAGGACATAGTTATTATTTAAAAGAGTACAAACGTGGATTTTCTATACGGATGAATGAAATAATATTTTTTACTTGAGTGGTATTGAATAATCGTTTGTAGTTCACACATTATACAATTAGTGATATAATAAGTAATTTAATTGATAACAAAATAGAACATTAAAATTTTAATGTCTATCATAAATGTCACAGCATTGTAAAAATATTTTTTTTTTAATTTATTGTGAAGAATTTATACATTAAATAATAACTTTAAATCCTGACATAATTAATCTAGTGTAACTCATTTTATTTTCCACATATGAAAATCCACGTTCAACTAATTGGTTACTCTGACAAATGTATGTGTGAGTGTTATGTATGAAGATCCAAATGATGTAGGTACATCCAGTGACGCAATGACTCCTTTAACCCTTAATATCTTACCAATAAATATCATTTTACTGCGGCACCTCCCCTGCAGTCAAATTTCTCTGATACGAGAACACCAATCTCGCCGGCTCAATTTGCACTTGCTGAGAATTTGCGTCCGGTCGTATCGAATTGAAACTCTGTGGTTGTGAGTAATAAGTGCCAATTTTGAAGACGGATTTTACTCCCTTGTCGAAATATGGATTTTTTGTGGTGCCACTGGTGTAGAAATTGTTCTTGTTGTACAATCCTGGGTTCGGATCGTTGTTTCTGGTTGTGATGAAGTCTTTGAAGTCGTATGGACTCCGCGTTGAGGTAATTGAGTATCTGTTTACTGATGGTGGGTACGTGTATCTCGTTGATTGCGTCGATGGCGTGTAGTATTGGAACGGTTTCCTTGTTGTGCTGTAGTACTGCGTGGTCGATGGGGGCTTTTGGTAATAGTTTGAGTAGAAATTCTTTTGGTATGGCTGTGTTGATGCTTCGTAACTGTGTGTAAAGATATCATTAGTATTGTGGTTGTGTACTGTCGGCAAATATTGACGCCTTTTTATATTTTGTATTAATGTTAATATAACACAAAAAATATTTAGATTTTTTGCTGACAGTATTGAAAGATATATTGATTATGTTTGGTAATTATAAATAATAGTTTATTTTGTAACATATATATAAACTATCTATATAATATATTTAATCATAATTTTAATGGTAATCAAATCTATAATATCTAAATATACAGATATCACAAAATTAATACCAGTAATAGAAACCCAAGATTAGGCTCACACCACACCAGGTTCAATCAACCGGACAATCTGTGACGACGCTGTTTGATTGGCGCATTTCCAAAGAGGGCGAGGCGTAGCAAGCAATGCGCCAATCGAATCATGTCGGTACGAGCCGTCCGACTCTTACCAGATGTGTGTGGCCAATAGATTTGTATTACAGTCTCGATACTCGGTGACTATCGTAACTGTAATACAAATTACAACTGTAATACAGACCTTGTAATATTTCCATAGAACGGACTCGTCTCCGGGCGGACGTAGCTCGGCGTGTGTTGTGAATAATCAGGTATTATATTCTCGTGTTCTGTTATACATCGCCCGTTTATACAGTACTGAAAATAAATTAATAATTTGATTTATTTATTCTATACTAATTTAATTAAATTAGTCTATTCTATTTAAAACAATATGAAATTTGATGATGGAAGTGATTCATATATGAACCACTATAAGGAGTTTGTCAAATAAAGAAAGAACATTAAAACGTAATCAGTCTTTTGGTCCAGCCGTTTAAAACTTCGATCTATATCTAAATAAGCTATCTTTACACGTTGAATGCTCTTCCACACGCAAATAGGCAGTCACGCAGGAAATAATAGATATCAATGTAAAGAGAACGAGAAAGGCCGCGCGTAAACCAGCTCACGTATTCTGGTGTCCTTCAATTCAATTTAAAAGAAATGATATACCATGAAACTATCCGCCGGCGAGGACGGTGTCGTGTGTGTGTGTAAGAAATGGTAAAATGCAGTCACGATTTCGCCGTTATGCACTCATAATTTCATGCCTGATTGTCGCGTATGTCGGATATTACTCCTCGGTGCGTAGTCGACCGCACTGACTATTGTAAAAGCAGCTACTTAAAACGTATTTACCTGTCCATCCCCGCAAGGCGATCCCTCCGCGGCGGGTCTGTACGCGACGCAGTATCCGCTCGCCGCGTCGAAGCAGAACAGCTGGGCGCACACGCGCTCGTCCTTGAAACAAGCGCTGAAAACGGTACAATGAAAATGTGAATAGATAGTATCGAATCAGAAATCGATTAATTTAAACATAAATCTATAATATAGTGTTTATAAGATTTAAATTTTTAAACATACAAATTGACAGAAAATATTTTATATCCTATATATTTATGTAATTAAATTGGAAAACAAGTTGACGGCCCACCTGATAATAAGCAGCAACCGTCGCCTATATATCTACATAAACAGCATCACGGATATCATGTAATTTTCATGATATTACTCATGCGATACTATTCCAGACGACAAGATAACAAGCCTGTAATATTACTGTCTAATCTGCACTCTATAAATAGCTGACAAGCTGCTTGATGGGTTAAATTCGTTAGAAATTATTCTATTGCTGGTAAAATAATATTGACTAAACTTCAATTTTGAATAAAGAAACTATTTATAAAGGTACCTTGTGAAAAATATAACATGTTATTGAAAAAGATAAACATATGACTTAATTTTATTAACGCGACATTATGACGATGGTAAAGCAGATATATTTTCATTTTTTTTTTAATTTTATAATATAGGTAACTAGAATATAAAAAATCATCAAGAAGATTGTTAGAGGTGCTCTTTCAGATACTCTTTTACGCAAAAATTATTGAATAGATTTCAAATTGTTACAGATTAACACATAGAAAATTTTAACCCAATTCAGACGTACTACGAGATACAGCTAGTAGACCTACAAAAAGCCCGAGAAATATCGAGTAACAAAACGAAATAGGCGTGTTTACACCGACCTGGTGCCTCTGTCCTTTCGACACTGAGCGTCTAGAGTGAGCAGACGGCCAGGCAACACGCGTGGTAACGAATCATCCTCATGTGGTGAGTTGTACAGGCACGTTGCAGTGTCGCCACTGTAAAAAATATTTTTAGGTAACTTGAAGGACAATAAAGCAGACTGTTGAAATTGCAAGTCACGTCATCATGTGACGTTTGTGTGTTTTGTACCATAGCAGATCGTCCTTTCCGCGCTCTCACCTGGAAACCATTGTAGTTGATTATGTCCTGGCGACGTGTTAACTGACCTAACTTTATGCTCATCCTATCGTATTTCACTAGTGCACCGCGAGCATATTATATCGTTTCAGCAAGCGGTTACACATTTTATATTCATGCATCAAACATCCCTCATGTCTACCATTTGTACTGACTAAGGTATTATGTCTACCCTGTAATTTCACTGTCATATCCCACTCTTCAACGTAAACACATCTTACAAAACAACCTGCTTGGGGACTGAAATTAGTGAGACAGAATGATTATTTACAGTTTAACTCGGTACAATATTTATTATAATTATTCTAAATACGAAATTCTATAATATTTATGAATATTAAATCTTAATAACTCTACATAAAGGTTAAATTAAACTTCTCCTAATTATTTCCATCTCCTAAGGACGGATGAAAGACGACTGCATGCAACTGAAATGAGAATGTTGAGGTGGATGTGTGGTGTGACAAGAATGGATAAGATAAACAATGAATACATTAGAGGAAGTATGAAAGTGGCACTGGTGTCAGAGAGGTTGAATCGTCTATCATGGTATGGACATGTAATGCGTAGGAACGAGGATAATATTTTAAGAAAGGTGTTTAGATATTAATGTTATAAGGGCAGAGGAAGGCCGAAAAAGAGATGGATGGACTGTGTGAAAGATGATAAGGCAAGAAAGGAAGTAAATAACGCGATGACTGCGAACAGGGATGAATGGAAGCGAAAAACATATTACGCCGACCCCAAATAAATGGGTTAAGGAAGAAGCAGATGATGATGACTATGAATAGTTTCAATCCGCATTCTGTAGAATTAATTTTCTATAAACTGCGGATTGAAACTAAAACTGGTTTTTGAACAACGCAGATAGGTAATAAGATCAACTCACTTCAAGAAGTGATGGAAACTCTGCACACTGCACGGCGACCACCTGAAGCCTTTCTCGGTATGCCTGAGGTCTGACATTATGAAGCCGTCCTCCCATCTGCACTTTTCAGCACCAGGACCTCCCAAATACGACGGTGGAGGACTACCGTCGTGGACTGCGCCTAATCTGTAAGTTTATTTACTGTTAGTATATGAGACTTCTTACAAAGATAACTAAATAATTTCCCAAGTTTATATAATATTAAGCGGTGACACGCTGTCGTTCTCTATCACTACACGAAATTTATTGACATACTGTATTATTCCTCCATTACCAGGGCATAATACAGGATCTAAATAAATAGGTATACATATATAGAATCTTACAAATGTCCAACTTCGTGAGCAGCAACTATGATGCCGGAGAATCCGCCAGTATCCTCAATAATAGCGACAGAATTGACTTTCTCCAATCTCTTGTTCACCACACACGCACCACCGACGTACGCAAACCCTGCAGTCACAAAGTCGTTAATTTTCCAATACATTCAATTTAAAAAAAATATATAAAACATTTTTCTCTATGGATCGTAGGATTAAGGAGAGGTACCACTTACAAAGTTGCAATTGATATGAAGATGTGTTAGAATAAGATAGAATATAGATAAGTAAGTACCTAATTTATTTGATCTAACAAAATATATTTTTGTTATACTTATATGTAAATAAAGTTATATAAAAAAGTTAATACTCACAGCTACTAGGTAGGTTCTAATTTTACTTATAAATTAAATAAAGTTATGGATAGATGTAATACTTACAGTACAGTTTAGGTTTCGTTGATGGATACTATAAGATATACTAAAAGGTACATGCAAAATTCATGCGAAAGCGGTTGAGGCTGCCACACTACACACAGCACAAATCAAAGCCACAAATAAATAGATATGTATATTGCGTACAGCAGAAAATAAAGACATAAAATCAGCACGTTATTACCTTTTAAGATCAAAACATAATTATAAATTAGTTACAATCAAACATGCAAGATTTGACATAGGTACAAAAAGGTGCTATTACAGAACATAATTGCTAATAACAGTATAATTGTTTTATCATGCGCTGTTGTTAGTCTATGCCCACCGTCTCTTCAAAGGCGCTATATTACCTAATTATTTTCTTAATCGCATTAAATCAGCAGATCTACTCTCGAGTCTAATCTCAATATTAATTTCAAGAATTCAGTTTCTAGTTTTTAACTAATCTTCTTAACGAAATTACAGAACAGCAAAATGACAAAATCTTTCACGTGTTTTCCGCAAATTTATAGAGCGACATATTTAATAATCAGAATATATAATAAATATTTCACGCGTATTTGTAGAACGGCAGAAATACTAATAAAAATCTTGTCCTTATTCCACGCGAATTTACGGAAATAAAACTGTTTTGTCTATTAATAATATATTTGACTATTTAGTAAAAAGAGCCATGTCTGTTCAGAAAACAAGGCCTAAACTTTACGAGTACTGGGCTAAGTAAGATGTATGTAAAGTAATGTGTACTTTAGTACTTTATATGCCCTCGTATCTTTGACCATATATGTATATAAAATCGGAACTTCGGACTTCGTGTTTTATATGTTAAGGTAGGGCCCATTAGTGTCTTACGCAACTTTCTTGTTACTGTAATTGCTGATGTACTAGTGATCTTTCGAATGGAATTGACGAAGCCAATTGTTACGAAATAACTCAGATATCTCATTAAAAACTGCCCATGAATGTACAAACATGCACACATGTTATAGGTACCAAGGATTGAAGTTTTTTTGAAGGCAAATGCATGCTTTAATGTAATAGTAAAGTTTGTTATTCAATATAATATCAACGTAGCTAATTATACGAATCACTATGCTAATAAAATTGACCGTCTAAAAAATACATTAATCAATAAAAACAAAGATAGGTATTCTAATACAAAAGGAAAACGTCTGATGAAACTAAACTACGTACATAAAGATATATTGAAATATATAGGTATGTACACATATCTACATGAAAGTGTCCACAGTTTATGCATCAGAAAAAGTTGTGGAGAGATAGAATATTATTCACAAGGTGCGAACATGATCATCGGATCGGATTGAGGTTTGGATAAGGTCCCAATGGTACAATGTGTAACAGGTGGGGACTTGATGAGAGAAAGGCGTGCTTTCGGAGTATTTAGTTTTGACACCCGCCTACCTGCTGTCCCTCTATTGCACGCATCGTTCGCATATTGCCTTCTGCACATGTCTAGTCTGAAATATTAGGGAAATAAATAAAACTCAATAAGTACACCAAACTCCCATTCGATCTGCGTGGACCTAGAAAGCGAATTGTTGATTCCATTTGTCCAAATTATCGAAAGGTAATCAACGCTTGAGATTCTTAAATTATTTATCAACAATATACTATAAATAATTTCACAAATTCAGAGATAATTACAAGATTAAATTAATATCGGCTTTACTCACGTGTTTAGTTCGGTATTACTCCATTCAAGACTTGATAATAATAATTCTATATTTTGCACAGAACAAAAAAAGCATGTTCGAAAATGCATTACAGAAGGCAGTCTTATCGCTAAAAATGATCTCTAACAGACAACATACATCACGAATACACTAAAGATACTCTCAAGTAACTAGAAAATTATTCTACTATCATGTGACATGCGCAGTAAAATTTTTACGTACAAAAACAGCTAAGGCGCAATGCTTATTGTCTATAGTTTTGCTGAAGTTGTTTGCCGTGAACTGTACTTTTAATCAGCAACAGGTATCTATAACAAGTTTGTGAAGCCGATAATAATTATAAATCAGAATGACACACATTATAGTAATTCAAAACAAAATATTGTCGATGAATAAATTATAACCTCAACTCTTATCGTGCTACGTGTAATGTAATGCTTGGTAGAACATATTCAGCGCCATTCCCAATCCTTTACCTCGGTACATTAAATAAGAAGCTAAATTAATATCACTGGAAGCCTCTGTTAATGGAGTTGTACCACTCGCAACCATCCTAGAATGGTTTTGAAAATTTAATTTACCAGCGGTGCCTTTAGTACAGCGACCACCCTTCCGTCGACGGCACATGTCGTACCTGTTGGAAATCAGTTTTCGGGTCTACATTCATTTTTAATATATACTGTATTCTTCACTTTATTAACACTCTTTCGTTATGGAACATATCATAATTAATATAAAGCTATTGACGCCAGTTAATCTCGGCTAAAAGTAGGTACATCTGATGGTATTTGGTATTACATTATAAATATCTGTAATAGGCCACATGAATAAGGCTGAATAAAGTCCTGTATGTATTTACAAAGTATTCATGTATAAACTACCCTACTATCAGCATCATCATCAACCCAATGCAGACATCATTGACCCTAACCCTCTTCTAGTTGTTATATCCTATTATATCACTCACATTTTTATATGGCGCTAAATAAATAAAAAATATGTAGTAGTGTTACTTACCAGCTTACCTTCTAATCCATTGATCAAGAATGGCAAAAAATATTAAAATAAATTACAAAGTTAGGGTTAACTGAATAGGTAAATAAGGAATACTATATAGTAAAGAATAGTTTATTATGATATATGAACCTGAAATCTAATATAGATTTACTAATCTATATTCAATTTTAGGTAAATTATTGTCTTTTCAGGTAATAAGTGTAAAAAATCCGTAAGTCCTTTCTTTTTTGCCACACTATACAAGCTAAGTAGGAAAGCTAGATTGCTTTCCTATTGGACATATTCATTTCTACTTTATAAGCCTCAAATCGTTTAATTTTTTTAATAGGTATAATAAATCATACTCAAACTGATATCTACTAGCAATCCACTACAAATTCGCCTTGGTAATTATTGTACAGACCTCAATATTTTTTAACATATCATGTTTGCTTGGTGATAATATTGCTTATTATATGTGAAAGAAATTTTAAAATCGTATGAGTATTTTTGAGTTCATTTTCATAGAAAAACATCAAATCTTTCCTCTTTTATCTTCATCTTTATATTATTAGCTTATTTATATTTTTTTGTCTACATAATCTTTGAAGGTAGATTGAACTTACTTGGTGATTGCAACGGCGATATCGTATACAGGCAGTCGTCTCTCCCTGAACAGATACTTGCCCATGTCTGTGAGCGCAGCAGCCGAGTCTATTGCATCTCGGCCTACGCGGTTTCTCTCTAGATACGGTGTCGCATCCCGGCCCTGAGGATGATAATAATATTTTTGTTATGTAACTGTATATAAGCTGACGGATATAAGGTTGTAAATGGATATAAGCTGACGACTGGTAGTAAGTAGTAACCATCGCCTGAAGATATGAACTATAGGCAACATTCATTCATTCCCGTGATACAAATCATGCGTTACCATTCCGCAGATTAAGATTCTATACCCTTTATTTTCACTGTCTTATCACACCCTTCAACCGAAACAGGGGGAAGGGGAATGTTAGTAATGTGGACTAATAACCCCATTACTAGCAATGTACCATATCAGATTGACATCCACGCGGTACCCCCTGGAGACCATCGTTATAAATGACTAATGAATTTACCATGATAGGCACACTGACCTGACGTCATCTGGTGCTCTGCCAGTGTAAAACCGCACATGCGGGTGCACTTATACCTTTATCATCCATAAGAAAAGCAAGTCTAGTGAAGCAAGCTCCTTGGCGGTATGGCAAACTGACCAACGGTCCACTTCAACACATATATGACATAACAGGTAATAGAAAAAGTATGTGCTATGGTAAGTGGTAACCATCACCTGAAGATATTAACTGCACTGTGGGATGTGTCGCCCTTCACACAAATCATGCGTTGCCATTCAGTAGGACTAAGATGTCATGCCCTATCTTAATAATATTATAACGTGAAAGTTTATGAGTATGGATGGATGTTTGTTACTCTCTCACGCAAAAACTACTGAACGGATTTCGATGAACTTTACAGTAATCTAGTTTATACATCAGAAAAAAACATAGGCTATAACTTAAAAAGAAATTCTGTAATTTGGGTGAAATATAATGTGTATAAATGTCAAGAATGGTGCAGGCGAAGTAGATGAAGGTCAGCTTCCTATATTTTTAGTGTCTTTTCACACATACCCTTCAACTGAAACACAATCTAGTAAAGCGAACCCCTTGGTGGTAGGAATAGCAAACTGACTAACACTCCACTTCAACACAGATATCACAGGTAATATAAAAAGTATCTGCAACTGGCGTATTTACATGAATAGATTAATGTATGTTAATGAAGCAAAGATACTCGTATATATGAATCGGAATATTACTGATCTTTCATCTCTGCCTACCCTAATAAGAGTCAAGCATGACGATATGTAGGTACATATATTCGTTTTATTGTGTGTTCTCAGTATGATAAAAATAATTAAGTAACCGCGATACATATCATTAGTGCAGGTGTTACCAAATTATACAAATTGATTCAGTGTTTCTTGGAAAGATCTCGATCTGGTTTTACCGAACTTATACTAAATTTACTTATAAGCATACCCTAAAATGTACAATGATTGATAATTAAACTGGTTTGCGTACAGCGTTCAAATGAATATTCTTGTACCAGTAGTAGTACCTAAAAATCTTTTAACTTTTCTATGGTTTCGATTTTGATTCTCTTACTACGCTACTTACTGGGAATTGGGTAGAAATACTACTATATTTTTATCTTACATTCTACCTTAGAATGTATGCTACAACACACACAACATATTATAATTCGCAGCTATTTGCGTATTCACATTTAATTTTATTACCTGATCTATAAAATATATAAGTACCTACGTTGCGCATGTATCTATGTATTTTATAAATGAGTTTTATTTTTAGAACTCATATAAATAATGTGACAAAAAACCATAACTGTATATGTAGGTCAATTGCCTGTCGACCAATCGACTTTTTGTTTTAATTATTACATTGGCTGAAAGCAAGATAATAAGCAGAAGAAAATGTTCTGTTGTACCTATAGCCCTTATATTTTAAGGTAAGGACACGAAAGTTTGTGTTTATATTTCTGGCATCACAACAAGACACAATAGTAGTAATATTAAAAAAAATTAACCATTCTCTACATAAGTAGAATATGTTTTTTTTTATGGATATAAATCCATCCTTGAGTCATCATTACAAAACAGAGAACTCTGTTTTGATTTCTCTACTGTGTAATAGACATAAGCCAACCCTGAGATATAAAAGCCTTAGTAAGTACTTATATTTTATTTTTCATTGCTTACATTTTTATTTTATCGCTTCTATATTATCTATGTATTAAAATAACGCACACGCGAAACTGCGGTAAACCGCTAGTAAGTATGTAATAAATTTTCACTACCTATTGCTGGTATCTAGTGTACTATGCTATAATTGAACTGGGACTATAATAAATATAATTGCTTTTTAAGCGGAAAAAATGGTCAAACATTATGTTCTTTTTTAAAAATAAAAAACGAAAATAATATGTTATTTATTGCAAACGCTGAATATGTGATGGCAGTATAGTCATTGACCTGAACCTGTTCTCCAAAACCAACAAAAAAAGCGCATTCATTTGGCGCCATTCTTTAATAAAATATCTGTCTATTTTCCTACTGCATTATAGTACGCTTACATATTTTTATTATTCTAATAAAAAAATGGCTAGCGAAGCTGTTTTAAAGTACCTAACAGATACAAATCGTCCATATTCCTGTGCCGATGTGACAACAAACCTGCGTGGTGCGTATACGAAGACCGCCGTACAGAAGGCACTGGACTCTTTGAGCGAAGCGGGAAAAATAAGGTGTAAATTGTATGGAAAACAAAAAGTCTACGTCGCTATACAACTTGATACAATAGATGGTGATAGTGATATAGAAGGTACGATGTCTATAATAGATTAGGATTTACAACTTATGGCAACCACCTATAATTTATTTAAGGCTTGTGACATTTAGCACAATTTTTTTTAATTTTTTTTATTTCGTATTGTACAAAAACACGTGTACAAAAGGCGAGCTTAATGCCATATGGCATTCTCTACCAGCTAACCTTTAGGTACAAATAGAAAGCGTGTAGGGCAGTAGTGGCGAAAAACTAAAAACTAATTCCATATTCTTAAGAAATAAATTATTACAACGATGGTCGTATCACAATAGATCAATTACTTCTAGTCTACTTTTGAATTATTAAGCGGAATTTCTAGTTTTTTTAGTATAATTTTGTTTCAACAAAAGTACCTATAGCAAAAAATTAGTAATAGTTATTGTTTTTAATAATAATAATACCGCTGGACAGTTCACACTACGTCATCTATGCCCATGGTAAGCGGAGCTTGTGTGTGGTGGGTGTATGGGTACTAGACAACTGATATAAATATTTAGATATTGTTTGTGTAAATCTTATTAATATTAAAATTTGTAAATATGGATAGATGTTACTCTTTCAGGCAAAAACTTCTGAACGGATTTTGTTGAAACTTTACAGTGATATAACTTATACATTAGAATAACACATAGGCAGTGAATTTCATGCGGATGATACCGCCGGCACAGCTTGTACATACATAATATACATAGAAAACACCCACACCGATACAAAAAATCATACTCATGAATACAAATATTTGTACCGTGCGAGAAATCGAATCCGCGACTACGGTGAAGCGATGTACCAAACCGCTAGACCACCGAGGCCGTCTATCGTAATTGGAATGGCAAATGCGCTGTCGACGCTTGGTGGTAAGTGATAACCATCATCTATATACATGAAGAGCGTCACGACCATCAATTTACAATGTGGTAGTACACCTCAAGCATTGCCGTTGTGGAGCACTAAGATATTATGACTTTGTAATTTCACTACCATATCTCACCCTTTTAATAAATAGCTGCTTTTCAAAATGAAAAGGATGAGATACACAAACGACTTTGTACAAAGTCTACTTTAGTCAATAATATTGTGTGTAATATGATATTGTGCTTCTTATTCACAGATTATGATAACCAACTCAAGAACCTTACACAATCTATAGCCGATAGGACAAATGCATTGAAAATGGCAGAGACAAATCTTAAAAGTCTAACGTCTGCACCAACTACCGAATCGGCTATAACAGAAATAGATGAAATAAAGAAGCGACTGGAGAAACACGAAATGAAATTGAACAATTTAAGAAGCTCAACTGAGATTATAAGTGCAGATGAAAAAAATAAAATCCTAAATGAGTTTGACACGTTTTTCAGGGAATACAGGTAAAATTTTATATACCTATATTAAAATTCTGATTTTGAATTATACCAAATAAGTTAGAAACGTATTTGGAAATCAAATAAAAAAAAACGAATTGAACTGGAACAAGTTTAGGAAAGCGCCAATGTGGGTAAACCTTATAAACCTTAAAAAATAATCCTAAAAATCGCCAGAAGGAAATTGGCAAGGATTTGCCTTGACAATTTCATATCATAGAAATAGAATAGATATTATTGTTGTAATTATATTTATTACATGTTTATTTTATAATATCTGCAACAGTTAAAATTGCAAACAAATATTACACAAGCACAACAACAAACCAAGCACACAAGAATTATTTTTAATTAATAATGCCAAATTTTTTTTAGAAAGCGTAAAAGAATATCTAATGATATGATCGAAGCAATTTTAGAAGGTTATCCCAAATCAAAGAAGACTTTTCTAGAAGAATTTTGTATAGAAACAGATGAAATGGTTGATTTTAAAATAATGAGTAATTCATAGGTGTTATTTAATAAAAAATATAATATGTGACATATTTTTAGAGTGAAGTATAATTTCATGTATAGATATTTACTTTCAACACCTTGTATCCTAAATAAATATGTACACTAAGTAAATAGAGGTGTTTATTGTCTAAAAGAATTGTGGACTGACTACGTTTAAAATTGAATATTATTAATTTAAATAATATTTTATTTTATTTTTATGTGAGTTTAGGTAAGTTATTATACATTTAAATAATAATTTCCATTTTTACATGCAATTATCTACCTATTAATTATTTATCTGCATTAACAAAAAAAACATTTTTAGGAAACCAACATTTAATTTGATATGTTTAAGTCTGTTTTCTATAGGTATGTCTTTTTTACTAGTTATTGCAGTATATTATTAACAGTCCGATACGATCCTAATTTGTCATAAAAGTCTACTGATTACTCAAACTGAGAATGTAGATTCCTGATTACTAGTTAATGCATGACCCGACCCATATTGTATTAATTGAATAAATACTATAATAATATATTTAAACAATTTAGGTACAAAGTTTTTATCTTGATTATTTCTATCTCACCTATTTCAGCCACCAAGCAGCTTGTATTGTAAACGATATAGTGGTCATCTTAGTCTTCTTTTTTTTTAATTTTAGGATGGTGGTAAACGAGTATAGAGCCCATCTGATGGTAAATGGTTACTGTAGCCTATAGACGCCTGAGATACCAGGCGGCCCGTGCGCGTTGTCCGACCCTTATGAAACCTTAATTTAAACCTTAAGTCTCTTAAGATAACCTCGACAGGTAGTTGCCGCTTATCTCTAGGTAGGCAGAATTTTTGTTAATCCTGTTACTTAAAAAAGAAAACTGAAAATCTATAATATATTGACACATGTATACTGATGAACTCACCCTAGATATGATGATACCGGCGATTGATATACGTATCCTGGGGCCCTTCAACAACTTGTATCTCAAGTCAACACCGTTCCAGAAAGACACGAAGTATCGTTTGATCTGCACGTTGTCACCTCCGTGTAATCTAGAAACAATTTTTTTTTACTTTAACATAATAATTTAAGGATATTGTAACAACAACATATTGAATCCAACGTAGCAGGGAGCGACTCTCTCTCGACATCTGATAAATCTTTGGTAAATTTTTGGTTTGGTACCGGCGTATCGTACTGGTAAAGTCTATACTAAACAAAAATGTAAATAGACACAATGAATTTTAATATATATTTTTTGTCAGGTCAGATTTGATCTCATGTGACGATCAGACGGGACGTGTGGAAATAAAAAAATATAAAATATCATATCATACTATAAACGAATATGGCATCAACTCAGATTTTACTGCAGAGCTTTTTAGTGGAACCACCGCTCCGAGGTAGGATAAATACCAAAATCTGTCTGTCTGTTTGTTACCTTTTCATGACTATTCGGCTCAACATATCTTAATTAAATTTGACATGAAGACAGATCTTATCACGAGAAGGACTAAGGGATATTTCAAAAAATAATCTGGAAAGGGAATGTAATATACAGTGAAATAAAGGATAAAAATGATAAAAGTTATAGAAAGCAGGTAACAACTGTTAAATTCAAATTCAAAATATCTTTATTCATGTAGGTCTATTACAGACTCTTATGATATGTCAAATCTACCATGTACATGTACATTGTGTGTTACATGTACATACTCGTATGTATATTACAATTAATAAGTAGCATAAAATAGAAAAAGTGGATACTGCAATACCTGTAGCCATCGTAATCAACAATGACCAGTATTTCGGGATATATTACATATGGCGCGTCCCTCTTCCGTCTACTGTGTGCGTCTGTTGATCGTTTTCTCCTGAACCGCTTGGCAAGGTGGTCGGGTTCCATGAAAGCTGGAGATGTTATAATAAGTTACATTAATTTAAGATTATCTCTTATAATATTTCTAGCTCTATCTGTACAGCTTACGTTACTCAGTGATATTATAGTTCCAACTATCTATAGGAGATTTTTTTTTGTAAATTGGTCAAATATTTTTGCAAACAAATTTATTTATTTATTATAGAAAAACCAGTACTGTACTACACACATATTGATAATTTATAAAAAGAAATGACAAATATATAAAAAAATAAAACTTTATAATAAGAATAAAGATTTTTTTATGTATGTGACTAGCTAACAAGCTTATAGACTACGTGATGGAAAACGATAACCATCTTCATTGCTACATGAATAGCATCATGGACTTTACAAAATACATTCTTCATGATTTGCCATTCCCGAGACCTATAATAGGTATAATGCTGTGATACTCTGTTATTCCACTTACTCTTCAAATATATATTAATAGACAGTAAGTGATAATGCATCTTTATAGGAACCAACATAAACAGCATCACAGCCGTAACAAGGGTTAAAAAATTTGATTTGAAGTAAAAAACTATGTTAATGGTCGATAACATATTTATGGGACATTACTTAGGCTATATTATGTCATGCTTCGAAAAACATTTGGAGTAGAAAACCACTAAAATCTATTGGCATTTAGGTAGTAATATTAGTCAGTTGTTAACTCGCGTATCGTTTATTCGATCAAAGATAACGATTACTCGAGTCAACATCATGTCGTGTAGGTACTTAGTACTTTTTTTTCATCTTTTAATTGTACACAATTGTTAATCTTCGTCACATTGTTCTTTAATTAGCGGCCTAAGACTGTGCGTTGCAAGAAAACGCTACGCCCATTATTGTAGAGTGCAATCTAACTCATTAAAATATCTAATATATAAACTCCCTTTTTATAATTAAAAAAAGTGTGTATGTATTTATTTAACCATGGATAAGAACTTTTACGTCACTAACTTTTAATGCAATTTTAATACTTATTAGTAAATTAAAGAAGTCGTTGTATTACTAGCCTAGTTGTTTACGACGCAGAATTACATCTAATAAGTGAGTGATATCAAATGTGACCGGTACAAAATTGGCAAAAATCTTAGTGTATCTAATTAAAACTAAAATAAGTATAAAAAATAACTAACTAAAATAAGTCTTTCTAATTGATTTTCGGAGAAAACCAAAAATTTATCCGCCACCGCGACATGGCGTCATATTGAATGCAATACTTAACATGCGATTAAGTATTGCATTCAATATGACGCCAATACTTGACATTATTTCTGACTATCCCATCCGGGATAACACTCGTGTGTACGTTAAGTATATAACAAAATGTATAGCGTAAATTTTAATAGTAACGGATTAGTATGACTTGATCGTCACTACGGCAGATGACGTGTAATTCTTCAATAGACTATTAAACATTTATAGGTAGGTTGGGCTATTTAGATATTAAATTTATATTCCACATACTAATAGTTTCCTATAGTATGTTGGGCACTGGAATATTGCTAAATATTTCGGTCGAAATCCGCACTGGAATTCTGAAATAAATAACTGGCCGCTAATACAGTGTACATTAAAAAAAAAAAGAGAATAGACGCCATCTTTTGTTATTATTAATAAAAAATAAGAGCAGACATTTTGTTGTTAGCTTCTACATTAATTAATTATACTACTACTACTATTCTACACGCATTGTAGAATAGTTTAGGAAATTACTCCTAGATGAAAGTACCGTGTGTGTTTAATCTTATACAAACTATTTCGCGTGTGGCCTTTCGTTATATTCCGCAAGAGACTAACTCCGTGTTCCCGCCATTCGGACGACCTCTACTTTGATGCGGTGTGCGCAGTGTCTTTAACAGTGCTCAGGATCATATTACAGGTCAGTGGATACCATTATTTTATGAATATTTGCTGCATATTATATTGATATACAAATTTATGGAAAAGCGCCCTGTAGGTGAGGTTAAGTTCTTGCATATACACGCCGCGTCATCATAGGTCTTTGACCTTTTTCATTTGTGTTTATTAGATTTTTATTATTTATCCTTATTTAAATACTAGATTAGACCTTATGACCCAAAGTTGAGTGGTTATAATTAATAAGATAAGTTTAACGTTTTTATTGTTATTTTATGAGAATATTAGAGCAGTTCATGGAAATTTGTTGAATTATAAAAATCGTCTGATGAAGCTTGTATAATAAATTATTTACTGTGGCTTCCGTATTAGATGTAATAACATTTATTCTTATGATTATGTATTTTTACATTATGTGACGTTCCTAAAAAAAAGATAATGAAACTGGACGATATGAATTTTCAGAAGCTTATAGAATATTTATATAGAACGCAAGAGGAATAAGCTTGAAGCATAAATCATTCTGTACCATTAAAACAATTGGCATAATTACCTACGTATACTTAGACCTCACACCTAGAATTATTTATTTAAATAAATAAATATTATCAATGGAAAAATAAATAAATTGACGCTATAAATATTGCATAGTTAATTGACAAAGACATGGCAAAAATACCTATTCATCTTGATTAATTGCTCAATAACAATATCTCTTTCACGTGCGCACCGGCACGTGAGTTTGTGCGCATCCGAATAATCGATCGTACAAACAGATAATCGATGTAATCGATTATGGTAATAGTACCGGTTCCTGCGTGAATACCAACGTGCTTAGATACGTGAAACTACCTAATGGTCTCACATATTTTTATCAATTGATTACAAATCGAGGGTTTGTGTATTTTTATCAACCGACTTAAAAAATAGAGGCTCTCAATTTGACTGTATATTTTTGTGGTAGTACCTCAAAACTCTCCTATGTGATTATTGGTAATTCTTTATTTGAAAACAGATCTTTTCCTAGTGGTGATCTGATAGAGTTTTTAAGTCATCCTTAATAATGCGATTGACACAATCGAAGTCAGTTTTTAGTGGAATAAACATGAGTATTATTTGTGAATTGTGACTGCACTTATTCGTTATTATTAATGTGAATTTAGTTATACGTCAGTACCCTTTACATGTTCATGTTATACTTAAAATGGGTTGCAAGGAAAGCTGCTATCGCCACAATTTTATGAGATAGTGTAGCTAAGTTACACAGAAAAACTTCACTTACCATAATCACCTAAGTGGTCGTCCGTTGCCGGGTCTCGCTTTATTATCACGTGTTTAGCACCGTTTAAAGCTTGTCTCAATTTGTCCTGGTCACCTTTTTCCCTTTTCACTGTAAAGAACATCAACAACATATTATCTCAACATATTAAATCCCATTGCTAATAATGTATCACGTCAGATAGATCTGCACGCGGTTTCCTTGGATACCATCTTTCTTATTTCTAGTTCAATACACCACGGTGAGCTAACTGGTCAATGGTATACCCTCCAGCATATGGCTAACACCATATGCTGGAGGGTATACCATTCCATTTTGATCTTATGGCTTATTAGTAAGTAGCAACCGTCATATATAAACATATATCTCACCATATACTGTAATTTCAATACTACATTTCAAGTGAAGTTGAACACAGCTTACAAAAAGCAGTTTTTTGGTTGTCTGAAAGAGGCAAGTCCCAGGTGCTGACGATAATGTGCATAGTCTGGTTTGATCCGCGTGCTATTCAAGGACGTTTCCCACGGAACATCAAGGTTATGTTAAACAATTGAGGATACTCACGAAGAGGTAGCCCAGTATCGATGGATACCATGTCAGACAAACTGGCTGGGTCCATGAACATCTCGTCATCCTGCGCTGGCGCCGTCATCGAATCGGGCACCGGCCTGATCACCAGCTCGTGACCAATAGAGCCTTCCTGCGCAACACAAAGTAAGTGAGTACATATAGATCCGATTTCAAAAATAGAGTAATTTAATTTGGATTATCGTTTTAACCATTCCGTAGTCATGTAGTATAAACTTAGCTAAATCAATACATAGATACCGATTAAAAAAAAACTACTTCATTAAATTTTATAAAAACATCATATTTATTTCAGAATAATAAAAGTATGTTTTTTGTTCAACATGTTTCATGTAAGTAAAGTGAATGTGACGAAATTCGTATAACGCATGTATTATACTCATACATAGAAATCTTTCAATAGAAAAATTCTAAATGATAATAAATTTTACGGAAAACTCCGTTGCGTTGTTTAAAATAAGTAAGCGAGAACAGACAAGCAACAATAACGATAGATGCAAAGAAGATTATTTCAATAAACTTCTTTAGATCCATAATCTAAATATATATTAGACGCATTTAAAAAATCCTTAAATTATACTGCATACGTATCTATTCAATGCAACATGGCAGTATTGAAATTATAGTGTGTCTCTAATTTTTACGTAAACTGGTAAAACACTTGATTTCGTAAAATTACATAGTTTACAAAAGTGATTAACTTGTTAAACAGAATATGAAAATACGATGGTTATTATTCTTAGGACTGCGTCACACTAGTGATTAGTCGCATCTCTTGTACAGACATAACAATTGTTTAGAAAATACACTAATACATTATATAAAGGCTGGATTCTTCTTGATGGCATTCTTTCATCAATCAACCGTCACATAACTAGTTATGTATCTACGTTACGTGTATAATTCTTATCAGACTTATCGACGCTTCCAGAATTGTTTATTTTAATCGTCATCATAAAATAAAGTTTAGTGTTTGATGCATTTATTAATGAAATAGTAGGTGGCTTATTAAAAAATATTTATTAATAAAAATAATCATTTCAAGGAAGAGAATAACTTACTTGAAAAACTTTAACAATTATTATTCGAATTTAAATAGTTCAGTAATTATAGTGTATTATTTACACAATACAACTTCTACTTGTACATTAATTTACCTCCAAATATTAGGCAATATATTAATTAAGGCATATAAATAACAGCAATTTTAACCCCTATTCCTCCCCCACTCCCCTACTCTCATTAAAATTTCAGGTTTAAATACTATAATTCAAATGTGACATTACGACATCTAAAACTATTCCATTGGTTGTAAGAGGTATCCGATCTAAAGTTCATGATTTTTTTACCCGATATTTTGACTCCTCCAAACCTTTGTCTTGGTTGATATACCCTCCTCCCCTAAATTGTGACTTAATTTATGGATGGCCTCTATACAGTAAACCTATATATATATATATATATATAAAAGTCGTCCGCGTGTGGTGGCCCTTAGAGTTGCACCATAGAGCCGACAGCTGACTTGTGAATAGTAAATAGAGTGGAACTCAGACACGACTGTAAAATCTTATTGTGCTGCCGTGACATCTTTATCACATAACAAATTATATTGTCGTTGAATATATCGCACGCCTCATAATAAACTGCGTTAACTCAAAAATCAGAAGTTACGCGAATTCGACTTTATCGTTTTGAACATAAAGTATGAATATCCAAAATTGGTAATTTTTTCGTTAATGCAGTTTAGTTTTAAGGTATACGATATGGATATTTGCTTTTGTGAAAAATGTTGTAGGTAGCTATATATATCTTGCTTTTGTAGTTTGTAGTAGAAAGTTACGTTGGTAAATCGATTTGCTAACAATATTGCTTACGACCACTGTGGTGTACGGGTTTAATACTCCGACATACTTCCGATGGTCGCGGTTTCAATTATAGCACCATACAAGCATGATGTTGTATAATAATGGTAACAAAGAGTCTATTTAACATGTTTAACATCTAAAGAATCAGGAAGTGGGGAGATTATTGGTTGGTAATGTAGACAAGTGACCCCATCACTACCTGCTTCTATCCGTTGCGCGGTTTATACATAGTTTTCTGTATTCATTAGTCTAAGCTTAATTTAAATTTCGTAATGTACGGTAAAAGTTCGAGCAATGCCGTAAACCTTTATTAAAAGTAAACTAATGCAGAGCGGAGCTCTGGGCGTTAATTTTAGTTTTAAATAGTTAGTATTCTATGGACATTTAGATAAACAATATAAATTGACATATAGTAAATACAATCATTATATAAACAAACCATAATCTAATAGATATTTAAAAAATAATCAACTTACAGATTTGTACGCTTGATATAAACACATTTTGTAAGGGCCATATTTTCAATAAGATGGCGTTGTATACATAAATGTTATATTTTATTTTTCTAGTTTGATTATTCGTCGATAGATATATATGTATGCATGCAGACGAAGTCGCAGTTAATACTAGTTATGTTTGTTTAGTAGGATGTTGTAACCAAATGCAACAGTACGCCTTTTGACACAATAACACCTCGATTATTATCTCCCATCGTTGTGACGCAACATATTTATGACTTTGTAACTTAAAAAAATAATTTTGAAATATCCTGTTTATAAATGAATGAAATAATTGAGAAATACCCAAGGAAAGGTTTCTAGAAAGTCTCTACCAGTTGTCAAGAATCCTTTGCTAGCAACGTTCTGGTTTCAAGACTAAGGAACCGCGTATATTTCAAATAAGAGTCAAACGGCTCGTGCAGAGGACGTGGTTCGAATAGTATAGTATATATTGGTTACTACGCCCTGTTCTCTTTGGACGACGCGACGATGTGATGTTTGTTACACTTTCACGCAAAACTACTGAATGGATTTTAGTGAAACTTTACAATATATATATGTAGCTTCTACATCAGAATAACACAACGCGGATGAAACTGCGGCCACAGCTAGTTTGAATATGTGTTTATCTTTCTGAGTGCTTATTACCTTTTCTTGATAATTGGCTCAAATAATCGTAACGAAAGAAATGAAAAGGTATGTAACACAAGGATGGACATATACGCTACCTCTTATCGTAAAAAATCATCTGGAAAGGCATGAAATAGGGGATGAATATTTGTGCCGACGAAGTTGGGAGTAAGCTGGTTATTGTTAAATTTCGTAGTGAAAGATGATAGATATTGCACCTTTGGGTGTATATTGATAATTTATTTTAAGTCCGTGGCACAATGGGCGTTGATTGTCGTTGGGAGCGATTGTGCAATCGACCTTAGTCTACTTGTGCACTCCATTGTTTGTGGTTACAGCTTACCTAGCCTAGTTAGATGAGTTTTTACGAAGACATATGTAAGCACAGTCTATAATAACTATGTATGTTAATGGAAGCTGGTGAAAGGTGTGGTGTTTATTCATGATAATGGGATGGGGCACCCGTCTGCGCTAACTGGTTCTTCTGGCTCCCGTCAGTGGAGGATGATACGATAAGAATGTGGTCAGATCAATTAGCTAATTCAACAGGAATTTATCACGATGGTTTCCAGATGGTACCGCATGGAATGTGTGATATTCGCCAGGTATACTTTGTACATAGTCGTCTGCTTGGGCAACTCTGTCTCACCTGTTTCAGCTGTCAAGCCGTATATGTTTTTTTATGTAATTAGAATGGTTAATAAGCTAATGGACCACTTGACGGTAAACGGAAACTGTCGCCTATATATTTTCAATAACAATAACGTTTTAAACAAAATATGTATCTAATAAACACAACATATTTCTGAGGCTGACTGTAGGTGTTTATTACAAAATTACTACAAAAAATACGTACGTGATTCTGCTACCAATATTTATGGGACAAACCAATTTGGTCATGGATTTGGAATAATATTAAGCGTATACTATTTACATGCTACTCAAGTTAAATTATTCGGTAGTAAAAATTTATTTGACAGTCTCGGTGGTTTTGTTATTATCACGCTGCCTTACTTTCGATGGGTGCGAGTTCGATTCCTCGCACGGTACAAACATTTCTATTCATGAGTATGATTATTTATATTGGTCTGGGTGTTTTCTATGTATTTTTATTTATTTATTTTATGTGTGTATTTAAGAAAAAAAGGAATCTATATATTTATATCAGTTGTCTAGTATCTATGTATAACACAAGGTCTGCTATCTATCATCATCTATCATGCAAAATACATGTATATACTTGTAGTTATACGGTTTCCATCACAATTTTTTAACACTATCCCTTGACAGTTGAAACGAACTTAATTGGAGACTTTAGTTTCTATGAATAATGAAGTTCATTTGACTAATTTTTATATTAAATAAATATCAAAAAACAACTTACCACCACTAACTTTCCGTGCTGAGGATGTCTCCTAATGAGCAGTGCGGCACCATTCTTTTCATCTTGATATAGTTCTCCCAAGTCTTCTTCGCCTTCCTGAATTTGAAAGGAACCAAATTAGATATTTGAATTATTTTATTCTTACTAATGTAGTTACTAATTAGAAATTTCGTTTGTCTATCTAAGAATAAAATAATTGAGAATCTTATAATTAGGAAATTGTGTTTGCCTATTTAATCACTTTTGATTAGTAAAGGACTAAAGGGATCTTAATGTAATTTGTAGTGAATATAGATTGTATCAGGAGGATAGACATAAGCTATCTTTTATCTTAAAAAAAAGCAATCGAAGTCGCGGTAAACCGCTTGACTAATAAACAACATCTATCGATTAAAATATTATAATGAAAAATTAAATTATATAAATTTTATTACAACACTTACTCGTATTACCACAACTTAGTACGAATAATAATACAACAAGGAATAAAAAGACCAAGGGCTTAACCACCAAGACAGTCACACAAAGTCTTATTGTTCACTTAGCCACGTCAAAATGTTTTTATCACTACCGTTCCAGTTCGGCTAGCTACTTCAGTTGAAAAGAACTGATAACAAAATCCAACGGGGACACAAAAAATACAGTTGAATTAGGAACCAAGATTTAAAGTCTATTAATATAATTTGTACTGTAGACACACACATTAATATTTATACTACAGGTATAAATAATTGGCTAAAAACCTGTATTGTAGTTTTTATTTCTTGAAGGTACATACCAAATAATCACACCGCTACTGTATGTAAAAAAAAATCTGTAATCTTACATTTATTTGTCCTTTGACAAGACAGGGAACGAAATGAAAGAATTAAATGTACAAATACGACATTTTCAATAGGTCAATTTCATCCTCGTACAAGTTTGTACAAGAATTTCACATACGAAAATAGGTCATAATAATATGATGTGCCAAATTTAGCTTAAAATATGTACGAGATCAGTTTTTTCTGCTGTTTTAAGGTTGGCAACCCTGAAAACGGGACTAGTTCGTAAATTGTCCGGACAATAGACGGAAGGGGTCTTGAAGGCTGTGCGGAGATTGGCTGTTCCGTTTGACGCGACGTTTGTTTAACAAAATTTAATTAATTTAAAATCAACTGTGACGATGACATGCATGCATAATTTAATCAAAATGGTATAGAAACAAAATCGTCGACTATACCATGGATAATTGCGCATTTATAAATAAAAAACAGATCTAAATCGTCTTGTGTACAAGTTCAATAGAACTGAAAAATAAAGCACATATAAAGACAATACCTATATAAGAACGTGGCGTAAACGTGCTTTTTCAAAATAATTTTAAGCCAAAATCATTTAATCATATAAATGAAACATTTTGACAATTATGCAAGTGAAAATTTTATATCACAATCTCTACCATCTACAATTTTCAAGAATTCCCACTATAAGATTTTTTGGTCGTTTGTTGTAAGGAATCAACATTGAAGTCATGTTAACTATGTAGATACCATTTTAATTAACAATTTACATGTCGACACACGTCTGGCGAAAAACTTTGATCTCACAGAATGCAATTTTTGATATACAAGTAGGTACTTATCGTGTGAAAATCAACAATCGTGAGATGAATATACTGCGTACTCTTAAGTATTACCAGCGTGCGTGATACCACCATCTCATCATACGGAACCTTGCACGTTTTTACATGAATTTGTGCTTCATGATTTCTATAAAAGTTACTAAGAAATTTTATGTTATTTGAAAAAATAACGTTCTATATATATCGTATTACAAATTATGGCATATTATTTAATAAAAATTATTTGAATTAACAAATAAATGAAAAATTATGAGAAAATGGATAGTGAAAAGAAACTAAGAGATTTTATAACTTTACAAGATTAGATCTTGTAAAGTTGTAAAATCTCTTAGTTGTTGTATGTATACCTTTGGCTTTGCCAACACTAAAACTCTTTGTGTATCAATTTATATTTTAGACTAACTCTCCGATAATGGAAATATCGATAACAGAATCAAAATAATCTCAAAGACAGTGGTATGTTATTGCCAGTCCATATAACATTAATACTATCATTTTCTTTATCGCTTGTTCTACAATTCTGGTTCATGTTTTTAGATCTACTTTTATAAGAATATGCCACATTCCGACTTAAATTTTTTTCTTCTCAAAAATATCTTACCCCAAATTTTCACTTTACAATTGCTTCTAATTAATCTTACTTCATTCATTTTTATAGTATTTGAATGGTATACAACTTTATAATGAAAAATATGATTGTAGGTATATTGTCCAATTTGTTGTGTAGTTATATATTGTTATGATATATAAATGTTGTACTGTGTTGACATTATTAAATTATTTCATAATTTAAATCTACGTCAAGAATACACAGATACAATGATGATGTAACCTGTCTACTTATTCCGACGTGTATATTCACAATACTATTTACAAATAAATAAAAATTTTACTGTAATTCATATTAACTATGAAGTATATTTCCGCAGTCCATTGTTGGAGATGCGATGTGTATCGAATCACGACCGCATACAGACACACATAACGATCTTATCTCTTGTTTTATTTATAATTTATCTGCCTTTTTAGACATTTAGTATCTTGAACTTTACGGCTTTGATATATATTGCACTTATTAAGGAAAAAACGTGGTCACATCTGTGAATAACGTTAAAAGTTTTGGTAACCTTTACAAAGAGGAAGGGTTCGATTTTTTTATAAATTCAACAGGTACTTAGTAGACTTAAAATTTCTATAATAACTAAATTGTTAATGAGTAATGGTTGGTTTTAATTTGACTTTTAAAAGATTTCGACATGTAACAAATAAATGACGTTGCTTTGTAGCTGAAATAGGTGAGATAGAGGTACCTACGAAAACGACTTTGTCCAAAATCCGTAATCCTAAATTTGCTGATTATAATAACATTAAATATGTATAGCACTATAGGTGAAAGATATTTTTTTAAATAATTAAGAGTTTTTAAGGTACATTGCACGGGTGTACATATATTATACATACAAAGAGGAAGTCTTGAACCACTCTATTATTTGCTAAAAACTACAGAAAAGCGAAGAGACAGCAGAAACTACTTTTTTATACTATATAAAGATAAACAAACATACAAAGAGTCAAACCTTTCCTCCTTATTATATCGATAGGTATTCCTGTTAAAAGAATATGAATCATGCCACATCTTTTCTCGTGTTCAACGTTAAGTAAATTATTATTCCTTTTGCCTTGTTATATAGTTATGGGTCTACAAATAAGCCATAAATGTAAAACAAAGTAAAGAATCATCTTTGATTTATTAGGTACCTACTTAATGAATACGCTCGTAAACCAAGTACTAGTAAGTGCCTAGAGTAGGTATAATTTTATAAGTTGCAAGTATTTTTAAACGGCTGGTACAGTCAACTTAATAATGACTTGAAGATTATAGCGTCAAGATATATTTTATTTACCTACTAGTGGCAACGGCGACTTTGTATGCGTTTAATTTTATAAACTTACATCTACTGATGATGCTCTAATGACAATTTTAAATAAAGTAAATAAAAAAAATCTATATGAAATCCGCGATTGTGTCATAAAAAATTAATTAATAGAATATAAAAAATTTTGATATAATTTCTTAGGTCCCTCGTTTCTCTAATTTTCAGCATTCGTCCTTATTTATAACATACTTATTTCAAATCATATGTTAATTAACATATATATGTTTTGATTGATTGATCTGATCGTTTCGGTGGAGTTAGATCAATTTGGATAAAATTATGTGTGCATATTCAAATGCCTTCGTATGGTTTGAAACAACAATTGAATCCGTAAGTCGCACTGTTTTACTGACGTTTGCCGATTTACAACATTAACATATCTGCATATATGTACCATATATGTTATTAATTTGGGTAATAAATTATCTAGTTATTGATATTTCATTGATTATGAATATATTTTATTTAAGGCATTTCGCTTTAAATAAAATATATTCATGTATGGCCTTAAATAAAATATGTCAGTATCTCGAAAATAATGTGAAAGCAATTGTATTGTATTATCTACCCCGTTACCTAACCATTTGCACTATCTACCACTTTCTGTCTTCTCTCCTCTACTCAAACGTTGTCTGGAAAAGATTGCTTATGCGATAAGACCTTTTATACATATTTATACCTTATTATAAATAGAAGTTATTTACATTTTTTATAATTTCCTTGTGATGCAATAAAGAGTAAATAAATAAAAATAAATAATTTTACGTAACTGGATGTTCAAATACTTTGTTTATGTCAATAATTAGCATTATTGACGTGCATCTGAGCTGAGAAATTTACTTTTTTTATGTACATACTACATTAATTGTGTACCGATTAAGGGCGATTATATACTAGATATTATTAGTTATTGAAAGCTATTAAGTGAGTCAGTGACTCGATGTAATTGTCGATTAATTGCTCTGGCGCATACGGATGTTTAAAGAGTGTAGTTGGGCAGTGTACCAACGATCCGATTTACATACCGTGTCATGTTATCCACCACCTTAGCAATATTACGATTAATAGTAAAAAAGTTTGCAACATATTCTGTGTGTGCTATTATTTATCAAGGGACTTTTAGCCATGTTTACCATTCCAATTATATGAAATAAGTAATGTTGATTTAAAGGGATGTAGATGCCTTACGTCTTTGGATATATGGATTGGCAAATAAGCTCACGGCTTGCCTACCTTATGGCAAGTGGTAACCGCCGTGTATGTACGTAAACAGCACCACATATATGACATTAACATGTCCTGTATACCTCACATGCGCTGTCAATTTCGGAGGGACTATGTGACGTTTGTCTGGGCAGGTGTGCACAGGAATTTTAGGTGCACATTAATTAACTTTATATTATTAAATATTATAAAATTTTTATTTATTGTACGAATAAAAGTATAACATTGAAATATTAAATTGTGAAATAATAGGCTACGTGACGTCGAATCTGATTGTGGAATTGGAATGATTCAACGGTCATGCATTCATC